GACCTTGGAAGAGGAAAACAAGCTGTTGGTTTCTTTCTGTCTCAGAGTTTTAGCCCCAGAAGAAAGCCAGGGAAATGCTTGTTTTGAAGACAGCATTGCCCAGTGCCTCTGAGACAGATCCCTTCCCTGATTCTTAATTTGCATCCTTCCTCCCTGGACCATGAGTGATTGGCAAACTTGGAATAAACTCTCTTGTCTTTATTTATTTCTCAGCCAGCAAATTTTTGGAGAAAAGTTAGGACAGGTCTTGTGAAACATTAGGGGCAGGATGACATGAGGGGCACAAATACATGTCTGGCACAGACTGAACTGGAGACACTGAAAGAAGGAAAATGTCACTCCTAACACATGGGCTGCCTGCCTGCCTTAAGTCAAAGCAGCAACGTGGCAACCCTGCCCATGGCAGGGCATGGAACTGGATGATCTTTAAGGTCCCTTCCAACCCAAACTGTTCTGTCATGATTTGTGGGTGCTGATGCCCAAGTGTGGGATGTTGCCCTGCCCCAGAGATCCCCTCCTGGGGTGCACTGCCAAAATCCTTGACACACCAGCTGATTTCAGCAAAGAAATGCAGAAACTCAGCCACTGTGTGGTGAAGTGCACGAGGAGACACTGCAGCACATGGGACACATTGCTGGGACACTGCAGCACACGGGACACATTGCTGGGACACTGCAGCACATGGGACACATTGCTGGGATGCAGTGCCCATGGCATTTGTCAGGATTCCTGCTTGGTGCTGCCAGGTGCCAGGCCTGCCAGCAGTGCCAGACCCACTGCTGCTTCCACCTCACCTGCTGGTGAAATCTGTGACATGAGGAGCTTATGTGAGGGATTTTATTTCATTATTTTTGCCCAACAGATTAGTGGAAAACAGGAAGTCAGTGCTATCTTGCTGACCCCCATGGCTGTGACCTATTAATGCACACAGTGATGAGAAACATTGGGTTGGTCCCACCTCGGAGCCAACATTCAATGAGCCCATGCAATCCCTGGTACTGCAAACTTCTCTGTGCCAACTGTACCAGGGCATGTTGTATCTAGAAAGCCCAAACCTCAGTCAGGAGAACAAAATGCACACATTTTCTTGATGCACTTTGAGCCTCACCTTCACGTCTGGCAAACCATACTCCTGCAAGGAAAAGTTTTCACACAGGGCTTTGGAATGCTGGTGCATCCATGGGTGGAAGAGCCCAGCCTGCTTGGCACAGTTTGTCTAGGGCAGTCTGAGGGCGCCTGTCAGCATCCCACGGGAACCTGTCAAGCACTGCCACTGCCATGCTCTTAATTAGCTAATCCTCTCCTCTCCTCTCCTCTCCTCTCCTCTCCTCTCCTCT